CACGCCTCGTTACCTGCGTGAGACCCCCCCACCTCCACCCTCCCTCCACTCTTTCTCCACTCTCCCCACCCTCCACTCTCCCCACCCCCTCCACTCTCCCCTCCCTCCACTCTCCCCCCCTCCACTCTCCCCACCCCCTCCACTCTCCCCCCCTCCACTCTCCCCACCCCCTCCACTCTCCCCCCCTCCACTCTCCCCACCCCCTCCACTCTCCCCCCCGTCCACTCTCCCCCTCCACTCCCCCCTTCCACTCTCGCCCCTCTACTCTCCCCCCCTCCACTCCCCCCTTCCCCCCTCGCCATCCTCCTCCCCCGCCGTGGTTATTGAGAGACGCGGTGGCCAGACCCCGTGTCGAGCAGCGCCAGTCGCGGGGCTCTGTGGACGAGGGGCGCGCGCGGCCGTACGGCGCTCCGGGCGACACGCGTCTGGGACGTGGATAAAGAAACTAAAATAATAAAAACAACTCAGACCGCTCGGGCGGCCGGGCCATGTCGACGCCTTTCAGGCGGCGTTGAAGACGCCCGAGGTGTCTCGCAGCCTCCTCAATTCTCATAACCGCGGCGACCTTTATGGAGAGCGACCCCAAACACACTCGGCAAACATTGACTCTGGGCTCACGCGCCACGGGCTTCATCGCGAGTGGCTCACTTTGCGTTTACGCGCAAACTCGTCCACCCGAGAAAACAGATCAGACTCGGAGCCTAACCCACTGCAGCATCCCCGTGACTATCGTCATAGCCAGTGCATCACGTGACTATGATCATCGCAGGCGCATCCCCGTGACTATCGTCATAGCCAGTGCATCACGTGACTATGATCATAGGCGATGCCAGCTTGATAATTATTGTTGAATAAATAAAGAATGAACTCGTCTGCAGGAGCCTGTAATGAAAACGGCGCAACTCCCCGTTAATGCGACTGCTGGTTTGGGGGAAATGCAGCCGTTAATTACCATCGGCGCGGCGCATCAATCACGCGGATTAATCAGCCGTCGTGAGACGGCGCGAGGCCGGCAGCGGAGCGCTCGTTCGGCACGCGGAGAGGTGCGCGTGGTTTTGTGGGACGAGGCGGAGAGATTCACGACTCGGGGTGGCTCCTGAGGAGGTTCTGCTCAGAGATGATTTAATAAATCCACGGCTCGTGTCTCATCAACACAAACATTCGGTACAACAATGCGAACAGAAATAAGTCGGAGCAAAAACAACCGTACAGACATCAATTAAAGCGGCCCTTTATCAAGTAGCAGCGAGATGATGGTCTCAGCCCGGTCACAAATCACTGAATAATTAAATTAAGTTGGTCACTAATTTCGTTATATTTCCGGAGCCACATTGCAAAATGCGGGTTGGATCGTGACGCGTGGCTCTGGAGCGTGCGAGTTGGCGCAGAGCGCCACCCAGAGAGTGGATGGGATGCGGTTGTGAAGGGGCACTCGGATTTAGTTCCGCGACGTCATCTTCCACGGGCCGTTCCCCAGCGCGAGGCGACGCTCCAGCCGCTCCCCGCCAGAGCCCCCAGGGAGGAGGCGTCGCGCCCGCAGCCACAACCGCAACGAAACATTGACTTTGTTCATCCTGTATTGACGATGAGCCAGCCTCAACCAGCAGCACAATTGCCCTGAGCGCGACTCGTAAGAGGATGTCTCCAACACAAAGTATCGCGTACAGCGGGGCCGGCCTTGACCACTGCGGCCACTCGCGGAGATCGAACTAAGCCTGGCCCTGGCTCACATGGCCCTGGCTCACCTGGCCCTGGCTCACCTGGCCCTGGCTCACCTGGCCCTGGCTCACCTGGCCGCGTGCGATGCGTTGTCGTCATTCTTTCTACGATACGATGGCGACGGTTCTGATAAAAAATATTTTATTTTTATTTTTCCATCGATAATCCAGAGACTGCACCCCCAACCCAAACCCGTGTTCCGCGACCGGGCGTCTGAGAGTGATTGTGGGTGCCGTGCCGGCGGGGTGGTGGTGGTTTATAGGGCCCGCGACCTTGTGGATCTCCGGCACACGGCTTTGGGTGTTTGGCCGCGCGCCCAGGGAGCTCGCGCGCCTCGCCTACTGATGGCGAAGCGCGGCCCGCGTTGAGTTCGCGTGTGCCCTCCCACCTCCCATGCCCACCCCTCTGATCGTGCCGGATTAAACAAAACGCGTGTGCGTGTGATACTGCGTTGGCGGCAGTGGTGAACAAGTAGAGGAGAACGTTGTACAATAGGCGGATGGGGAGTGCATGACGTGGAGCGCACGAAGAGACGGCGATGTGCACCACGATGGGGCCCTGAGAGCAGTGTCGAGGAGGCGTCTGTCCCCCAGACTGTTGAGCGAGGACCTCGCTATGGCGGGAACCTAATGGGCGGGGGTTGGGAGGCCGTGTGGGTCGCGCCGGTCGTGCCCGTGGTGGCTCGCATCTCTGAGAAGAGCGGCGGCGCTCGGCGCCAGGCAGGGAGCGTGTGGTGCGTGGGGAGCGTGGGGAGCGTGGGGAGCGTTTGGGACGTTCTCGTCCCGTGTTGTTGCTGTGGTGGTGTTGGTGGTGGGGGGCGACAGGGAGAGAGGGAGGCCCGCAGCCCAGGCGAATGCGATATTAATGCTCTCCCCCCCCCTCTCTCTCACTCATCAATGTTTGACGTCGCATTTCAACACCGCTCAAGGCGCCGTTGCGGTTGCGCGCGGTTGCCCTGCGGTTGCACGTGCCGTTGTCATGGCGACCCGGCTGGAGCCGCACCGCGTTGGAGCCGCTGGACCGACGTTGGCCCAACCACCGCCACGTGTCCGGGGACCGTAGCGAAACGTTAAAAGTCAAAAACTTTGACTCCATTCACTCACCCACTCACGCATTCACTCAGTCACCCATTCCTCACTCACTCAGACAGTCAGTTACTTATTCATACAACGTCAAAGTGATTCCTGCTCCAATGAGCATCGAGGCATGGGCGCGCATCTCCCATCCACAGCTTTGCAGAGGCAGTGGTGGAAATTCCGCATTCCTGTGGCGAGGGCGACGAGTCTGTCTATATGACAACCGCTGTTGACTTCGCTACAAAGTGGTGCCACTTTATCGACCCTGGAGAGATGATGGACTGCGTTAGAGTCGTTCGCTCTGCCGTTGAGCACCCGGTCGTGATGAGGGAGTGAGCTTCTTCTCGCCTGCACATCCCTGCCCAGACGCAGTGGCGGGTTTCATGGTAAATCCATGGACCAATCCGTGCCGATTCACCCAAACCCCAGTGTTGCGTTCACCCGGGGAAAGCCTCAAACTGAGTCTCGAGACTCCTTTTCAGGAGAGTGCTGCCGCGTCGGGTTTATTTGGCCATAATTTCCACGAGTAAATGAGAGAGTTTGGCTGTGCGCGTGCGAGGAAGCCGGAGAACCCCGGAGGGACCCTCAGCGCCGATGCGGGGAGACACCCAGCACCACATCGCCGTGCCGTGGCCGCGCCTGCAACACCTGGCAAGCCCCAGTGGTGGACGTCATCGCAAGGGAATACCCAGGCTGGACGGGCTTGATGACACGCGCATTCAGGGTGGATTTGGGCCGAGTCAAGGGTGGACTTTTTTTAAAAATACCATTTCTGGTAAATGAGTGCGAGCCTGGCAGCGAGCGTAATTTGCTCTCTCCATGACGCGAGCCTAATGAGATAGAATTAAGCCCTCCGTTACAAATTGAAGCTGCGATTCCTCTCGCGTTCGACGGTGAAAAATCGTGCCCAGAGCCCAGAGCCAAGGGCTGCCCCCCCCCACCCCCCTCGAGCACGGCGACCGGAGTCCCATTATTCCCGGCCAAGGCTGACATCGATGAGTGGCAGGTTACTTGATGAACCGGTCCTTGGGCCCTCCCTTAGCTGCTCGACTCGAGCTTTAAATCAGCACCGAGCGCGGAGCGGAAACATCGGCACGTCCCGTTCACCCGCGCAGCCGTCGGAGCTAAGTGACAAGGTCAGGCCCTGGCTGCTGCGGGTGGTGTGCAGAGACGATCCGCGATGGTGACGACACGATGGCACCGACACGTGCGACTGCACACACACCCCATGCCACCCGCTCATAGTTCACAACGTAAACAATGCAGACCATTACCCCAGCCTGCCTGCCGGCCTTATCTGGCCCTCCACGTAAAACAAATACAATATACTTTTCATTTTGGGGGGTTCATATCCCGTTAGCCGCGCACAGCTTTCCCGGAGCGCATACATTTATCAGCGTTGTCAGCACGAGCACAACTTGGGGCCGGTTTCGACATTCGGTGTCTCGTCAGCAGCCAGGCTTTGCTTGCTTGAGTCAATGCTGGCGAGCTTCCCATCGCTTTTATGTAACGCGCTCGCTCGCATTGCGCGAGTCTACAGTGCTGTCGTTAAAGACGAACGCGTTGCGTTTTGTTGTTGTTGATTATTTGTGCCTGTGCGCTACTGCTGAATGCAGCAGCACGAAACGATGCGTTTGGGTGTTTTGTGCGCGCATTCCGTGGCGATCGGACCGAGTCCATCAACTCGCTGCGCCTGAGAACGCGGTTTGGTAACAGGTGGCGGCTGAAACCTGGATGAGAACCCAGGCTCTCAGAGGCGCCGGCTTCGTGTCTGTGGCCTCTGAACCACCTGGCGGCCTTGTGTGAAGCTCTGTCATAATCGTTGCTCACGAACGACGCTTGCCCCTGTCTGCGTGTTTTCGTGCGCGTGCGTGCGCGTCTGTGCGCGTGCGTTTGTGTGTGTGGGGGGGGGGGGAGCGGTAGTGCAGCGGTTAGCGCGTTGCGCTATGAACCCGGCGACCAGAGTTCAATTCCCGCTCACGGCCAACACCGGTGATTAATCTGAACCTTTCCCAGGCCTCCCCTAGGTCGACTCGGCCTTAAATGAGTACTTGGTGCGATGTGCAAACATCGCCACTGAGGAGACAAAGGCGGCCGGGCGTGGTGCTGGCCATGCACCCACTCGTGTGCCGTGCCGGCCTTCAGCACTTGCCCCAACAGTCTGTTAAGGCTACACGGGGGATCTTTGTGTTTTGTCTTTTTCAGTGCAATGAGCGCAGCGTGAAGGCCCGGGTGCTCATGGGAAAGTCTCAGCAGGCGCTCGGGCAGTTCACCGAGGTAAGGCGACCACTGGCCCTCACAGCACCTCGCTCACTCACTCACACGAGGTCCCACCGAGAAGATGAAACTAGGGCGGAGGAATCTTCAGTCGCGGTGCAGTGGCGGCTGCTGCTGCTGCACGTGTTCTGCCGCCTGTAACCCGGCAGGGTTAGTGGATCACCGCACGAATGTTGCGACACTCCCTTCCCGTGGCCATCGAGGAGGAGTCGTACCCTGGCTCGCCAAGAGAAGGCGGTACAGCGAAATCGTGGAATCCTTTTCCGTCTGTGTGGGATCGACGATTGCCCCCTCGCACGCGTGGATTGTCTCTGGGTGCTCTGGATTCCTCACACATGCAAACACTCATTCATTAGGGGCAATTATCTTCGTAGAGAACTGCAGAGCTTGGGAAATTGTTGGTTCCGGCTCACGACCTCGAAGTTGCCTTCCCGCTCGTCCGTGGCTCCTCCTCCTGGCGCCTCTGCGTCGTTCTCTCTGGTGGCGCATCACAAGTTAACGAATAATAAAAACAACAAGTTAACGTGTTAACTTGTTGTTTTTATTATTCATCTGTGGCACTCGTGCAGACGCGGCCCACACACACCTGAGACCTCCCGCTTTGGAACGGGAAAAGGAGGAGGGGGGGAAGGGAGGAGAGGATGAGGGCTGTAAGTCGAAGTGGGCATGTGAATCCATGGCTCTCCGGGACCTCGGCCGGACGCCAAAGCGATTCGCTGCAGGACCCACCATGAGTTGGGATGATGGCGACGTGAAGCATCAACACCGCCTCCGAACCCCTCGGCGCTCGCTCGCTGGGACTCACGAAGCGCACGGCGACCTCGCAAGCGGCGGAGACACCCGACCCCGCGGGCCCTCACCGCGCCAATCGACGGCCCGCGCCGGGGCCAACGCCGCCGCCGTGCCAAAGGCCAAATGTAACCGCCCAACACCGCGGGTGTCAAATTGTCGTCGCTGTAGCCGGGGCGGCGTGCCGGAGAGCAGCCGGCCCCTCTCGGCCCACCGCATTGAGCTCCGGGGGCGCTCAACGCGGTGGTGCCGCGCCAGCGCCAGGTTTTGTGGATTGCGGGCGCGGGGCCGTCGTGGGGCCATCGTGGGGTCGTCGTGGGGCCGTCGTGGGGACGTCGTGGGGACGTCGTGGGGCCGTCGTGGGGCCGTCGTGGGGCCGTCGTGGGGACGTCGTGGGGACGTCGTGGGGCCGTCGTGGGGCCGTCATGGTTTTTGTCGACGGTCGGAAATTGCGAGTGGCGAGCGGCGAATTGATGGCGTGGACGCGCCGGGGCCGCGGGGGTCAGAGGCGCCGCGCTCGTTGTCGAGATTTCGGGTCGGTGGCGGAGCTGGGGTCGGAGCGGAACGTCGAGTCGCGGTGCACGCGGCGCGCGTGCCCGAGCCCCGTGCTCGCACTGCACGCCTGTGCTCGCTGTTAGCGAGTGGCACCCGTGAAGATCGACACGGCACCCGTGAAGGTCGACACGGCACGCGAGGGGCTGGGTGGCCAACAACGTGCCAGGCCGCCTTTGTCTTCCCCATGCTGATGTTTCCACAACACACCGGGTACAAATTTTTAAGGTCGAGTCGACCTCGGGGTGGCACATAACCAGTTCAGATATTTGCCACGGATGTTAACCACGAGCGGGAATCGAAGTCGTCTGTCCGGGTTCAGAGTGCGGTGCACTAATCACCGCATTACCGCTCCCCAGACACACGCACACACAGCGCACACACACGCAGCGCACACACAGCGCACACACACACACAGCGCACACACAGCGCACACACACGCACACACACACGCGCACACACGCGCGCACACACGCACACAGCGAACACACACACACAGCGCACACACACGCACGCACACACACACGCGCACACACACACACATCGCACACACAGCGCACATACACACACAGCGCACACACACACAGCGCATGCACACAGCACACACACACAGCGCACACACACACACACACACGCGCACACACGCACACAGCGCACACACACACACACGCACAACGCACACACACACAGCGCACACACACACACTCGCACACACACAATGCCGTGTCAGCGGGGCGGTGCCGCGATTAGGAGCGCGCTCGTTAAGGTGTCGGGGCGAGGGAGCTCGACGAGGGCGCTGCTAATTCGCTTTGTTCGCCCGAGGGGCCGGCGCGACATTCGCCGTGGCCGCACGGCGCCGATCGCGAGGCACCGCCGCCGCGAGGCCACGTGGGCGCTGGACGCGACTATCGGCAGAGTTGTTATCGCCGATCGATTGGGCTTAGCGCAAGCGAAAAAAACACACACACGGAAAGCCTTAAATTTGGCGCTGCAGCCCGGGCGTTTCCAAATAAACGCGGCAATTTAAGTAGCTGGGGGTACAAACCCGAGCGGATTTAAGAGACTGCCGCCCATCGATCCGGAGAGGCAGGCCGGCCCGGGCAGCACGGCCGCGGCACACGAGTCCCGGGTGGGAGGCCGCGGCAATTACCCCGGGCTGTATTTTACTTTAATTCGCTCCCCGGGAAACAAGAGACCGGGGATACATCGCACTCGCCATGGTTTATGCTTCATGGCTGATCTACTTCGCAGAGACCCGCAGCCACATGCTGGCTGGTGTGTTACCTCTCTGGGTGAGCCTGCGTCTGGGTGAGCCTGCGTCTGGGTGAGCCTGGGTCTGTGTGAGCCTGGGTCTGTGTGAACCTGGGTCTGTGTGAGCCTGGGTCTGGGTGAGCCTGGGTCTGTGTGAGCCTGGGTCTGTGTGAGCCTTGGTCTGTGTAAGCCTGGGTCTGTGTGAGCCTGGGTCTGTGTAAGCATGGGTCTGTGTGAGCCTGCGTCTGGGTGAGCCTGGGTCTGTGTGAGCCTGGGTCTGTGTGAGCCTGGGTCTGTGTGAGCCTGGGTATGTGTAAGCCTGGGTCTGTGTGAGCCTGGGTCTGTGTGAGCCTGCGTCTGGGTGAGCCTGGGTCTGGGTGAGCATGGGTCTGTGTGAGCCTGGGTCTGTGTAAGCCTGGGTCTGTGTGAGCCTGGGTCTGGGTGAACTTGGGTCTGTGTGAATCACAGGCCCCATGCAGGCGATGGAGGAGGTTGTGGGCGATGCGGCGTCAGGGTCTGCGTACAAATTAGACGCGTCGTACGCTCTATTATCCATCGTTGCTACGTGCAGTCGCGTGTGTTTGCGACCGTGTGCGTGTGTGTCAGTGTGCGTGTCTGTCAGTGTGCGTGTGTGTCAGTGTGGGCGCACTCCGCACGACCGTGCGCGTCCATGTGCGCGTCCGCGCATAAACTGTACATTTCCAGCGCGCAATCTGCACCTGTGCTTGACGCTCACGCACGCGCGCATGCACGCGCACTCGTTCCCGCGCAACGCACCTGCAGGCACGGTGCGCGCCCACGTGTGCAGAGCGATGAGTGCGCGGGGGCGTTGTGTGCAAAGGAGGGCGCGGGGAAAGAGGCATCGCGTGTCCTGGCAACGCTCGTCTGTTACGGGGGGGGGGGGGGGACACATCGACCCCTATCGACGGTTGCCACGGTGAAGAGGTAATCCGGTTGGTGCGACGGGCGGTTGGGTTGGTGGTGGGGGGGGGCGTTATAAGGATGGAGCCGACCGCTGCTCATGACACAACAACAGCCGCCGACCTTCGCCACGAAGTGGCGGTCATGTGGCCACGGCACATGTGCCAGGTTAGGTGCCCTTTGAGGCCACGCAATGCATGGAATGCTCACTGGCCAGAGGTCACGTGACACACCAGGCGCCATGGGTTGACTGCCTGAGATGACTGGCAGATGCACCACCTGTGATGCCCACTGTGCCACCTCTCCGTGTGCTCCTCTTTACGCTCCAGTATTGCTGGAGGGCCACTGCCTCCAAGTGTGCACCTTGCCTGGCATTGCCAGGTAGCATCCTCCACAAGCCTCCTCGACAAAGGCCGATCTTGGCACCGGTCACAGGCAAATCCACTCGGCTCCAAATAGCCCTGTACCGCATCAGCCCATCTGCACTCTCGCCTGTGCCGTGCCTCCTTTATCTGGCCAAACAAAAGCTACTTGGACAGCATGTGGCGGCTGGGCGTGGGGCTTCGTGACCCAGTCGACAATCTAAAATCAGCCGACACAGCTTCACCTGCCGGAAGAGCTCACTGCTGGGACTGCGTCCAGAACTTTCAAGGATATGTGAGCTCCTCACATGCACACACACAGACACGTGCTCGTGCCCACGTGTGTGTGCATGGTTGTCGAGTGGCACCGTGCAGGCGTGGGGCCCGAGTGCAGGCCGCTAGTCAAAGACGTTTAACAACACACAAGGGGGGCACATCAGTGCGCGAACGCAAGCTCTCAGTCTTATCCAGACCGCCAGCTGAAAAGAACTGAACGTGGTGTCGTTTTAGACCATGGACTCCAAGAGTCGAGAACGTGTTACGAGGCCCAACGAGGGAGCCACCCGGGTGCTCAGCTGCATCCGTGTCCGAATGCTGCCCATTGTTGGGATGAGCCCAATTGTTCTCAACTCGTTCGAGTCGGACGCCGTTGCATTTCGAAGCCGCGTGCGTTCCAGACAGTTGTTCGCATTGCACGCGCGCGCTATGCCTTCGCACAGCGCGTCGGCCGTGTGGGTCGCCGTGTGGATCGTCGTCACGTTTCGCGCTCTCCGAAGCCTGGGGGCTGTGAGCCGAGTTCGAGTCTCGCTCACGGCCTCCGCCGACAGCGGCGACGACGATTTACCCGATGCGGTGATGGGCCTCGGCGAGGACTATTCGGCCTGAAACGGAGTGCCCGGTGCGACGTGTAAACATTGTCAGTGTGGAGACAAAGGCGAGCGGGCGCGGTTCTGGTCACACCACGCCCTCGTGGGCCATTCGGCCACCAACACCAGTGAAGATTATCTGAACCGCTCCCTGGGTCTCCCTTTCGGTGGACTCTGCTTCAAATGAGTACCTGGTGCAATGCATAAAACATCACCACTATAGAGACAAAGGTGGCCGGGCGTGGTGCTGGCCACCCACTCCCTCGTGTGCCATGCGGGCCTTGATAGGCGCTCGCTGACAGCCCTTGCTCCAAGCGTCTGTAAAAGGTTATGATGCGTGGGAACATTGCCTTTGTGTGCGTGCGTGCGCGCGCTCGCGCACGGGGCCGCCCGTTCGATACGAGGCTGCTCGCTCATTACAGAAATGAGCCGGCTCCGTGCTGAGGTCAGTAGAGGTTGGCCAGGACTGGCCGAGTGTTGCTGGGCTGGGCCGCCCCCCCCCCCCCCCCCCCCCACTACGCACGCGCGCGGAGTGTTCCACAAACTCCGAGTACAAAGTTCGCTGCTGCAATTCCACAAACATCAGGTTCTGGGAAGGACAACTTCTCACTGCTGCTGCCATCATAGCGCTGTCGCCGTCACTCGCAAGCACCGGGGCGCGCTGTCGGTGCGAGCCGGGGCTCGGCTCCCCACTCTTTAACAACGCGAGGCCTCCGTACCGAGTGACCCCCCTCCCTCGTTGTGCCGATGCGGCGGCGTTGTCCGAGGTGATGCGCACAGAGTGGGCGATGTCTGCCGCCTCCCGGGGTCTCGGATTCCGAGGCATCACCAACACAACTCGTAACGAGACATCACCAACACAACTCGTAACGAGACATCACCAACACGACTCGTAACGAGACATCACCAACACGACTCGTAACGAGACATCACCAACACAACTCGTAACGAGACATCACCAACACAACTCGTAACGAGACATCACCAACACAACTTGTAACGAGACATCACCAACACAACTCATAACGAGGCATCACCAACACAACTCATAACGAGACATCACCAACACAACTTGTAACGAGGCATCACCAACACAACTCATAACGAGGCATCACCAACACAACTCGTAACGAGACATCACCAACACAACTCATAACGAGACATCACCAACACAACTTGTAACGAGACATCACCAACACAACTTGTAACGAGACATCACCAACACAACTCATAACGAGACATCACCAACACAACTCATAACGAGACATCACCAACACAACTCATAACGAGACATCACCAACACAACTCGTAACGAGACATCACCAACACAACTTGTAACGAGACATCACCAACACAACTCATAACGAGACATCACCAACACAACTCATAACGAGACATCACCAACACAACTCATAACGAGACATCACCAACACAACTCATAACGAGGCATCACCAACACAACTCGTAACGAGGCATCACCAACACAACTCGTAACGAGACATCACCAACACAACTCGTAACGAGACATCACCAACACAACTCATAACGAGGCATCACCAACACAACTCATAACGAGACATCACCAACACAACTCGTAACGAGGCATCACCAACACAACTCGTAACGAGACATCACCAACACAACTCGTAACGAGACATCACCAACACAACTCATAACGAGGCATCACCAACACAACTCATAACGAGGCATCACCAACACAACTCGTAACGAGGCATCACCAACACAACTCGTAACGAGACATCACCAACACAACTCGTAACGAGACATCACCAACACAACTCGTAACGAGACATCACCAACACAACTCATAACGAGACATCACCAACACAACTCATAACGAGACATCACCAACACAACTCATAACGAGACATCACCAACACAACTCATAACGAGACATCACCAACACAACTTGTAACGAGACATCACCAACACAACTCGTAACGAGACATCACCAACACAACTCATAACGAGACATCACCAACACAACTCATAACGAGACATCACCAACACAACTCATAACGAGTCATCACCAACACAACTCGTAACGAGACATCACCAACACAACTCGTAACGAGACATCACCAACACAACTCATAACGAGACATCACCAACACGACTTGTAACGAGACATCACCCACACAACTCGTAACGAGTAATCACCAACACAACTCATAACGAGTCATCACCAACACAACTCGTAACGAGACATCACCAACACAACTCGTAACGAGACATCACCAACACAACTCATAACGAGACATCACCAACACAACTCGTAACGAGACATCACCAACACGACTCGTAACGAGACATCACCAACACAACTCGTAACGAGACATCACCAACACAACTCGTAACGAGACATCACCAACACAACTCATAACGAGACATCACCAACACAACTCGTAACGAGACATCACCAACACAACTCGTAACGAGACATCACCAACACAACTCATAACGAGACATCACCAACACAACTCATAACGAGACATCACCAACACAACTCGTAGCGAGACATCACCCACACAACTTGTAACGAGACATCACCAACACAACTCATAACGGGGCGTCGCGACCTCGATGCCAGTGAGAGCGCCGCGAGGCTTTGGGGTCGCCACGGGGGGCCCGGACCCGGCGAGTGGCGAATGGCGCGCGCGACAAAACGTCCAACACCGTCAAGCAGTTCCTGAGGAACTGCATCGCGTGTCCTCGAGTTGTCATCATCAGCATCATTGTCTATTGTTGTTGTTGTTGACGCGGATTATTTTCCCTTCGCCTCATTCCTCAACAGCGTCTAAACCCTATAGCAGAAGAGTCGACACCCCGCGAGGATGGCGTGTGTTGGGGTTTTCGAGCGACGCCGCTCCCCCCCCCCCCCCCCCCAAATCAGAGACGGCCTCTCTGTCTCTCCCGCTGTGTGTGCGCCGGGGAGTGCCCGGCGGTGGGCACCGCTGATTGTCGCGATGATAATTAGCGGCGCAGGGACCGGCGCTTAGTGGCGGCAGTGCGAGGATGGAAGAGGCGGCTCGGGACCCCGTGTGGGCCCCCCCGCTGTGCGCGCATCCTCACGGCGGGCGGAGGGGCTGCTGCCGCTGCTGCCGCTGCTGCCGCTGCTGCCGCTGCTGCCGCTGCTGCCGCTGCTGCCGCTGCTGCCGCTGCTGCCGCTGCTGCCGCTGCTGCCGCTGCTGCCGCTGCTGCCGCTGCTGCCGCTGCTGCCGCTGCTGCCGCTGCTGCCGCTGCTGCCGCTGCTGCCGCTGCTGCCGCTGCTGCCGCTGCTGCCGCTGCTGCCGCTGCTGCCGCTGCTGCCGCTGCTGCAAGGGGGAGTCGCGATTGCGATGCACGGCGCGGAGCGAACGCAGCTTCCGCGGTAATTGGATGAAAAAAGGCGCTTGTGCGTCGCGTTATTAAATAAAACAACGGTGCTGCTCCCATCACTAACGCGCGCGTGTGCACCCCGCCCCCTCATCCCCGCCCTACTCCCCCCTTCCCTCTTCTCTCCCCCCCCCCCCCCGCCTTCATTCATCACACCCACCATCCCTCCGCAATTCTCCCGCCGCACGTAGGCACAGGGTACTTATGAAGCAGTGCTGGCCGCTGATCCCACCCACAAGATACTAATTCAAGGTCAGTACCACCCCCCCCCCCTGTACATTGAGAGGCGCTCCTAAGAGACCCCCCGCGAGAGAAAATCCCCCTCTTTACCCCTTTACACAAAAGAGCGTTCATCTCAGAGCGTTCACAAATCCCCGGCCTGCAGAGAGCAGCACGCGATCCGTAACGGCTGCCTTGACAGAGCCGCACGCGGCGCCTCACAGCCCCCCTGGAGATGCAGCAAAGCCCCTTCTGCTCCTGCTGCTGCTGCGCCGGGAAGATTGCGCGGGGCACGCTGGGCTTGGAGATTGGGTCGCGGCTTTGTGGTGCATGCTGGGTAAAGATAGGCAGTTGAGAGGTGCATGCTGGGTAAAGAGGGGCAGTTAAGAGGTGCATGCTGGGTAAAGAGGGCAGTTGAGTGGTGCATGCTGGGTAAAGGGAGGCAGCTGTGTGGTGCATGCTGGGTAAAGAGGGGCAGTTAAGAGGTGCATGCTGCGTAAAGAGGGGCAGTTAAGAGGGGCATGCTGGGTAAAGAGGGGCAGTTAAGAGGGGCATGCTGGGTAAAGAGGGCAGTTGAGTGGTGCATACTGGGTAAAGGGAGGCAGCTGTGTGGTGAATGCTGGGTAAAGAGGGGCAGTTGAGTGGTGCATGCTGGGTAAAGAGGGGCAGTTGAGTGGTGTATGCTGGGTAAAGGGGTGGTGGAGGGTAGGTCGGAGCTGGCTGTCATTAGATTTCGCAAATGTTTTAAAACTCCTTTATGCAAGAGTTGTATCAGCCTAAAGCCCGGTATATTTCACCCTCCCTTCTTTCCTCCGCTCCGTTCCTGCTATATCGGATAACCCAGATCTCGTCCGTTAACGAGACAAGCTATCCACTAATCAAGCTCTGCCTGCAGGTTCAGTGAAGGTTCCCGTGATGCTGACGCTGTGTGTGTGTGCTCCTGTTATTTAATACAATTCATCAGTCATTACAGTAATAAAAATGTTTTCACGTCGTCACACGAGCATCAGAAAAGCAGAAAATCCTATAAAGATGATCAGACGACTTCAAAGCAGAGAGTTTGCATGAGCCCTTGGGGAGACGATGAATAATGAATGTGGTTTGGGGCTAGGAAGGGGGGTTCGGGGGGATGGAGGGAGATCAGAGGAATGGTTTTGAGTGAGTGGGTGTGCAACTGGGCACGTTACAAATCCTGAATTAGTCACTATTACCATCATCACTGCTGTCAGGAGTTGCACGGTGGACAAACGTGGAATTCAATGGAACTGCAGTCGCTCTGATGGTGGTGGTGGTGGTGGCATTACTGCTGTGCGCAGGAGCGTCATGCGGTTTCCGTGTAAAACCGTGACCGCAGGAGAATCGGTTGTTAGTTGGATAATTAGTTGCTGTTTGCGAAACCGCATCACCTGCTACACTTCTCAAGAGAACTGTTATGAAGACAAAGGCAAATATCCCCCCCCTATAGCCTAAAAACAGACTGTCGGGGCAAGTGCTGTTAGCGAGCACCTATTAAGGCCAGCGTGGCACAGTGGCGCACGTATTCCCGGTTGAGTGATTTGCGGGGTGATTGTTCCAATTTGGATCGTGACCCCGGCCACGCGATGACGTCACCCGCACCTCCGATTAGCACGGTTGGCAACGTACGGTGCGAAAGAAGTTCAACGCGCACACACATGCGGGATGTTTGACGTCTCGCCGTGAGCGAAGCGGACGGCGCGTGGTGGCGGTATGGTTACGGTGAATGCGCAGCGTCACCGCAGTGGTGATAACCGGGGAGGCCGCCGGTTATTTTTCTCGAAGCGCGAACCTCTGCGACGAGCGGCGAACTCCGTGGCCGCCCCTCGCTCTGCGATGTCCGCTGCTGCGGCCGTCCCCGCGCGCTGTTCCGCGAGACCACCGGATGGACCCTCCACGCTTAAACTATGAAACATTTAAACTATTTATTTTTTAACCGGGTAAGGCCCACTGAGCCATTATAGCTCTTTATCAGAAGCGACCTGGCCACACGTGACAGCTCAACAAAGCGGCTTGTCATCACGTGGACATTTATAGCTGCCAAACACTCCGAGCGCGTGTTGGGGATTGTACATCTGTAGGGAAAACCCGGAGGATCCGGAGAAAAATCCACGCGACTACGGGGAGAGGGACACGCAAACTCCAAATACACAGCAGCAGGCGTCAGGGTCGGGATCTAACCCATGTGCGCCTGCATGCCAGGCACACGCATGTCGCCACCGCGGGCGTCTCGTGGCAAGGCCGCGTCGATTGCGCAGCCATTCAACGATGAGCGGTGGGGTGGGGGGAAGAGAGGAAAACTCTGTTTGAAAAATAAAGACGAAAGTGGAATAGCAGGCGAGGCGATTCGCACGCGATACTAGCTCGGCGAAGTTAGAGAGAGCTCATGGCGACAGCGCGTGCGGCGTGGGGTCACACACAGGAGCCTGCGGTGTGTGCAGTTGTATTCGTCAGCAGCTCCTGTGCGTGTATGGATGCGTGCGCGCGTGTGTGTGTGTGGCAGCACCTGTACGTGTGTGTGCCTTGTCTTTGGATGCGTGCGTTAGTTTGGGAGCGTGTGTGAATGCCGCGTGTCGTCACGCATCCCCCCAGGTCTCCTGCGCGCCCTGGAGCGGGAGCGTCTCCGCGTGGAGGAGGAGGAGGAGGAGCGCGAGGCCCGGGCCCAGCTCTCCGGCGCCGAGCCGCACGCCGCCCGCTCGCTCCTCGCAGCCCTGGGCCACCTGCGCGGATCGTCCGCCCCGGAGCTCGCGCGCCACGTGCGGAGCCTTGCCTCCTCCATCCACAGCCGTGAGTCCAAGCCCCCACCCCCGCCCACCCCCACACCTCCTCCTCCCAGCGCGCACCGCGACGCACGCCTGTGGGCTCCGGCGGCTCCAGCGCTCGCAGGAACGAACGCGCTCACCCCGCGGGGACTTCTCACTCTGATCACCTCGCTGAGCGACGGGCTGACACACTGATTGATTGGCCCGCTCACTGACTCACTCAGATACTGATTGACCGACATCCCGCCCCTCTGACAGACTGACACGGACTTACTGCCTGACAGGCTGACAGACAGAGAGGCTGACAAACAGAGAGGTTTATTTACAGCCACCGGAGAGCCCACTGGGGTAGAGAGGTGGGGCAGTGTTCGGCGGGAAGCACGCCGCGCTACAGCCTCGTGAACCGAGTTGGATTCCCATCCATGGCTACCTTTGGAGTTGAGTGACAGCTGATCCAGCCCTGGCATGTCCTCCCCCCACCTCAGCGCGGTGCAGTGTCGTCAAACAACCCTCATGGCCGACGCGGCCTGTGATACTTGTTGTAATATTCGTGGATGGCTGATGACACTTTAATGCACATAGGACTGCAGAGCTTGGGCACTTGTTGGTGCCAGCACGCCGCCTCGCTGCTGCCTTCCCGCTCGTCCGTGGCTCCTCCTCCTGGTTCCTCTGCGTCTTCTCTCTCTCTACGAGAGCCGCGAGTGAATACCGAGTAGCAGCGACGGCGACGCGTTACAAGTTCACATTATAACAATTATTATGAATACTATTTAATTCCTTAAACAACAAGTCGTGTTTTTCAATCGACGGAGCCCGGCGACTCGGTAAGCACGCGATAGAAGCGCATAAATCAAACAAACGAAGTGGAAAAAAAAACATCTCTGCAATGAAATCTCTCAGATCGTGAACTCCGACCGCCGTGGCGACGCGAAGCCTTCCCGGGTTTGGCGCTGCCGACGCAATGGCCGCTGCTGTGCCGCCTCCCTTCAAAAGTCGAAGCGTTCACTAAATCCACAAAGAATATTTCTCTCCCGCTCCCAGCCCACCTTCGTGTCTCCCACGTCGGCCTCCGCCGTCGGGGTGCTGTCCGCCCCACACGCGATATCTCTCACACGCCACGCGCGCTCCCTCTCTCTCTCTCTCTCGCTCTGTGTGTGCGCGCTCCCACTTTGAGATAACCTCTCGCCTGTTGCTCCCCCCTCGCGTCTGTCCCTGCCTCTTCCCACGTCTCCTCATCTCCATTCGGCGTTTTCATCCTCGCTGGTATGACGCAGCGGCACGAAGTCTCCATGTCGCAGCCCAGCACGCGGGGCCGTGAGCTCATCAGCACACTCACACACTGACACACTGACACACACACACTGATGAATACGCTGACACACTGACACACACTCACCCACTGACGCACGCTGACGCACACATATACTGATGAATACACTGACATACACATACTGATGAACTCATACACTGACACACACTGATAATGATGCACTGACACGTGCTGACACATTGTCACGCGCAACTGACACCCACACTAATACATTTAGGTTGACACACACGTGCACTGACATAGACACTGACACATTCACTGACACTCACTGACACACTAATGTACACACTGACACACATACTGACACGCTCATTGACACGCTGACACTGGACTGATACACTGACACATTCACTGAAACACTCGCTGACACTGACATATTCATTGACAGATTCACCGAGAGAATTATAATCTTTATTTAGACTGCAGCAGGAGGAATCCGATGAGCTATGAAGCTCTTTGTCACAGATATCCAGTAAGGGCAGGCCAGCAAGTTACAACATCAAACAACACAAACACGATGGGAGTGCAAAATAGACTTGTAAACAACTTTTATTGCCGCCAGCAGCAAAAGCACTGGAGGCGATTTCGATATGAAATACACAAAGTCACCAGCAAACAAATGAAAATAAACGCTACAAATCGACGCGCTGTGGCGCTAAAAGCACCGCGCACAATACAAAAAGAAAAATCACGTGGCTGTGGTGTCATCGCGCACGCCACGGTGACGAGCGAGCGCTTCAGAAGGTGAACACGTGGGTGCCGTCCACGTTGGTACAGAGAGGGGATTTTCCGGCTCCCCAGCGTTCGAAGAAGACATGCACATCACCAACATGTGTGTGGTACGCGTGCTCCAACCGGAGCCGTGCCTTGAGCAGGCCCCTGAACACTGGAAGCACAGAGCAGCCGTCAGTGTCACCTTGCAGAATATTTTTTTCTCGTTCTGTACACCGCCATCTTCGCCTGCGCACAGGCAAAGTTGGCGAGGTAAACAAGCCACGAAACATAAATGTAAAATATCTAAAGTATCGAGGTACGAATTGCACAAATACATCTTCCTGCTCATTCATCAACGCCAAATGCAAGCCTGGGAAAGGTAGCAAAGCAACAAAGAGTCCCAGACCACACCAAGACAACAAAGTTGTGGTTGGTGGTGGTTTTGGTTGTTGGTAGTGGTTGATAGTGGTGGTGGGGGGTGGTGGTGGGGGTTGTGGTTGGTGGTTATGGTTGGTAGTGGTGGTGGGGGTTGTGGTTGGTGGTTGTGGTTGGTTGTAGTGGTGGCGGGGGGGGTTGCTTTGGAACAGCGATGCGCACAGAAACTGCGCCACACTTCACGTCGATGTCCCGCGGGTCCCTCCCCTGGCGAGGCTTGCGGGCCCACGTGACCTGTAAAATCCGCCTCCCCCGTCTGTGCGCAGCGAAGCCTGCGCGTCTTGGAGGCTCGCTTCACGCTCCGGCTGGCCCAGCTCGTTGTTTTTGTTGTCGTTGTTGTTGTTGTTGTCCGCCGCTGTCTTCACTCTCGCGGAGTTCGTCTCCTTCGCAGCACCCCCTCGAGGCGGAGGACGAACGCGGTGCCATTTTCAAGACGACACGTTACAATTTTAGACCCAAACAACAACACTCTTACTGTTGTTGTTATTGTTGTTATGTGTGTCATCAACAAACGCCAATCCCGCCCGGACAATTGTTGTTAATGGCCGATCACACGTGCCAGGCTTGCTCACGCTAATTGCGATTAAGCGTCTCGCGTTTCCCAAACACCGGCACGGGCGCGCTGCCTGGGGGGTGATTGGGCGCTGATGGTGGCGGGGAAGAGGGGGGCACGAGGAGGGATTACGGGGGGCGGTGTCACTACGAGAGGGAGATGTGTGAGTGTGTCTGTGTGTGAGTGTGTGTCTGTGTGTGTGTGTCTGTGTGTATGTGTCTGTGTGTGTGTGTCTGTGTGTGAGTGTGTGTGATCCAATCTCCGACCCCCAGGAACAGGTTTGCAGATTTGCTGAGCATTTCTGTGAGGTCCTGGGGGAGGGAAATTCTCTCAGCCAGGAAAACATCATGGCACAAAATGGTGATAACCCTGCTGAGGCTGCGGTGCCTCAAATATTGGAAGAGGTCACCCCCTGTGAGTGGCTGGCTGAGGTGCCAGCTGTTGAGGAAGTACTGAGGGCGATCCGGAGTCTGAGACCAGGGAAGGCACCGGGCAGAGATGATCTCCCAAGCGAAATGCTGAGGGAGGGTGGCGTTTGTGCACAGACTGCCCTATATGACATCATAACAACAGTCTGGACCACTGGACGGATTCCGCAGGACTGGAAGGATGCCCTGGTGGTCCCCCTCTTTAAGAAGGGGGACCGTACCGACTGTAACAACTACAGGGGCATCTCACTCCTCAGTGTGCCGGGTAAGGTCCTGGCAAGGATTATTCAACATCGCCTTGCTAGGCACGCTGAGGAGAGGCTTGCGGAGCCCCAATGCGGTTTCAGGAAAGGGCGGTCCTGCACAGATGCCATATTTTCTGTCCGTCTGCTACAGCAGAGGTGTAGGGAATTCCAAAAAGACCTACATCTCTGCTTTATTGACCTGGTCAAGGCCTATGATACCATCAGTAGGACTGGGCTCTGGGTTGTTCTTCGTGCTTTCGGAGTCCCTGACCCTCTGCTCACGATCATTAAAGACCTTCATGATGGTGAGCGGGCCCGGGTAAAACTACGTGGCCGGGAGTCGGAGCCTTTCCCTGTACACCTTGGGGTGCGACAGGGATGTCCTCTGGCTCCCACATTATTTAACATCTATTTTGACCGCGTAGTTCGTGAAGCCTTCAATAGCTGTACCGGGGGAATTTCCATTTGGTACAGATATAATGGGAGGCTGATCGATGCCCGGGTGCGATCAAGGGATGGCTCCCTATTGGTCAACCACGTTATGTATGCCGATGATTTGGTAATAGCTGCTCATTCAGAAGAGGAGTTGGAGACGCTGCTGCTGAGACTGGAGCGTGCCACTAAGAGGTGGGGCCTTACCATCAGCCCCACCAAAACTAAGCACCTGCCTGGGTATTTTGTACCATCGGACACTCCACCCCCACAACTCCCAATTGGTGATGGGGCAGTTGTGGAGAGAGTGGAGAGTTTCCCATACCTGGGCAGTGTGCTTATGACCGGCTCCAGTTTATCAGCAGAGGTCTCACTCCGAATCAGTCGAGCGGCAATATCTTTTCATCGGTTGCGTAACGCTGTGTGGAAGCTACCTGGTCTGTCGCTCCGCACGAAGCTTCAGGTCTTCTCGGCCACGGTCATTCCCTCCCTTCTCTACGCTTGCGAAACGTGGACCCCCCTGGTGGAGCATCTTCGCCGGTTGGAAACATTTAGGCTGGCCTGCCTACGATCCATCTTGGGTTTAACCAGGCTGGATTGTGTGAGGAGCTCACAAATCCTTGAAAGATCTGGGCAAAGTCCCATCAGTGAGCTCCTCCGGCAGGCAAGGCTGCGTTGGCTGGGTCATGTAGCCCGCATGCCCAGCCACCGCATGCCTAAACAGCTTTTGTTCGGCCGGATCGAGGGGCTAGACGGGCGCGGCACGGGCTGGAGAAGAGATGGAGTGATGTGGTACAGGAGGACGTGGAGCTGAGTGGACTTGCCGATGACTGGTACCAGCGGTGTCAAGATCGGCCTCAGTGGAGGAGGCTCGTGAAGGACGCTACT